GTATACACTTCCCAATACGTATTGGAAAATATTGCAATACGGTTTTGTCGTATTGCAATATATTGCAATACGGTTTTTGGTCGCAATACTCACCCCTACTACGCACAAAACCCTGAAAGGTCATGTCACACTGGGCTAAAACTGACCCTGTAGCTGAACCAAACACTGTAATAAAATAAAAGGTTACGCTAACCTCACCTTCAGCTATAATACAATCTGACATCGCAAAATCTGTTAATAGGCTAATAGGGTTGCTAAGAATTTAAAAAATGATTTACCTCATCTGTTTGGCTTCAAACGCTGACGAGTGTCTGTGAAATTGATCTCGATTACAAGTCGATTAAATATATTGATTACATATAGTCGATTATGTATCGTATTTGTAATTATGAAATACGAGTCCATCGGGGTCTCTTTCCTGCGTAGATGTTGTACCTAAAGCGGGATAAGAAGGATGAGGAGAACGGGGCGAGCGGGAATCCGTTCCACAACCTGGAGAAGACGACCGTCCTGCAGGAGGCGCGCGTGTTCAACGAGACGCCCATCATCCCTCGCCGGTGCATCCATATCCTCACCAAGTTTCTCTACATTCTCAACCAGGTGCGTGTGCTTGCATGCTTGCATGCGGGCGTGTGTGCACGTGTGTGTTCATATTGGTTTTAAAAGATTCACTTTCTCACATAATACGCTTAATTATTTGTCTTTATTGCTGAAATAAATGCCCTTGCATAATCGCAAGTTGATGAGCCACATGAACTCTCCAGTCTAGATCTGGTCTAAATATAGTCTAGATGAACCATGTTTGCTGGCAACATTTAGTGAGTTATATCGGAGCTTATCATTTGTAATTTCAGGGGGAAACGTTCGGTAAGACGGAAGCAACTGAAGCGTTTTTTGCGACGACGAAACTGTTTCAATCGAAAGACGTTACACTGCGTCGGTAAGTGCTGTATCCGTCGCATAAAAACAATCGATCTAGTAAGGCTATTCTCATAACTATACAATTAGATCAATCGGTCTTTACGCTGTGCAGAATACCTGCTGTTACATCGTAGTTTTGTTGAGTAGCACGGTATACCTGCTGATGATACATCATGGTATTGTTGCATAGCATTATGTACCCAATGATACATCATGGTTTCATTGCATAGCACGGTATACCTGTTGATACATCGTGGTTTCATTGCGTAGCATTGTATACCTGTTGATACATCGTGGTTTCATTGCGTAGCATGGTATACCTGTTGATACATCATGGTTTCATTGCATAGCATGGTATACCCAGCATGAGAAACTAGCGGTCGCCCAGTCGCCAGTGGCGATTAGAAAATTGACTGGGCGACTGCTTGCTCGTGTCAGCTGGGGTGTCTTCCCGTTTCGCCATTTTCCCACTTCGCCATTTTCCCATTTCGCCATTTTCCCATTTCGCCATTTTCCCA